CACAATTTTCGCTTTTCTCAAAAACAAAAGCACGCTTTTTAAAAAATGTAAAGGGGGAGTGAGGGCAAGGTGGGAGAAATATAGGGGGGTATTTCTTAGATCACTGACGAGGTCAAAACATTCCCGAAAGAGGACTCTTGCAAAAAAAGGATAACAGGAATTTTTTTTAATCGAAAAACTGGCATTCTGATGACTGGAAAAAATCGAAAATAACATGTCCATTGCAAAAAAGGATAATGGAATTAATTCCTTTTTTGAACTGAGAAATTAGCATTTTGCTGCCGAAAAAAAACCGAACATGTTTAAAAATATGTATAAAAATCTCCAAGTTGGTACGGCAAACCATTTCGACCCAGAACTGGCAACGCTAGAAATGAGTTGGTGATCCTCGATAAACATCCAGGCCTTAAAACGACTGAAGCCTTGCCGAATGCTTCTGGGGGGAAGAACCTTGAGCATTCCGTCCCCGCTTCCCATCTAATTCCTCTTGTCCTTAAGCTAAGCTTTCCATCACATATATGTGCGCATTGTAAGGAAGGCAAAAATTAAACATGATACTTGGTCATAGCTGCAAAATTGTGACTAAAGGTTTTTTTCGCCGAATTCAACAGGACAGCGAAGAATGTCGACAGCGCCGTCAAAGCGCCGCTGCCTTCTTGTCGACTGAATTCCTGCAAAATTTCCGTCAGTTCCTCCGGTGTTGCTTTGTTTCGGAATGCATTTTCAATTTGTGCAACTAGTTCTTTCACACTTCGCTCCTCTGAAAACGAAGAAAATTAGTGCTGCATAAGGTTCCCCTTAGAGGAAGTCTCACAGCATAGTTAACTGAGTAACAGTTACTTAAATGTGCAAAAAAAACATGCATTGCAACTTAAAATTCGAGCAAGATCGAACAAACATCGGTCAAAACTACGGAAAATTCTGCCAACAAACAAGAAAAAAGAAACACAAAATATTCAAACAAAAAAGTTGGCAGAGCACTATATGATGATTCAACAGTAATAAGGCTCAAGCTGAATTAATGGTGCTCGGAATACACCCAGCAGAACGACACCTCGAAGTTACTAAACCCATATTTATATTGGAAGAACTGTTGATCAGTGGAGGGTCACAATCACCTTGACCATTCCGCAGTGCAAATTTGGTCAGAGCAAGGTTTAAGCTGTATGACTGCAGAAGCATGCCGTGAACTACAGTTGATTTTAGTACTTAACAAAAAAAAAA